TCGCCCCATAATTGATTATAAGTCTTCAAATCATAGACAAGCCCCCAAATGAAACTGAGACGATCAAACGAACATAACAGAAACACCTGAGAGGGTTGATGGCAGGCCGATGGAAAAGAGGCGGAGCCTGTTGGTGCTCTTATCAGTGGAAAGCAAACGGTAGAGAGAGCCTGAACTACAAGAGAGAGAATGAAAGGTTAGCCCCGTTGTTCTGCCTCAGCTGGATGTTTCTTCTTCTCTTACTTTGGGATCCATGTCAGTTTGAGTACACGGAGTTTAAAGTTTTATAATTCCTACAATTATGCTAATTTTTAATAGCTTTAAATGTCTGAGTTTAGGATTCAAGCATCAGGTTTCTTAGTTTGTCGATGCCTCCACCCTCCACAGAGGTCACGATGCTCACAAAACAGACTTTAATTGGCTGCCGCAGCCGTCGTGCACCACCCAATCACAGGACAACCTGGAGGTGTGGAGTGGAGTGTTTGTTTAGGCTCTAATCAGAAACCCTGTGCAGTTGCATTGTGGGACGTGTTGGATCCAGCTTGCCGCTCACTGGTTCATGAGGTTTTGGCGTTCGGCCATCAGCGTCTTTTGTGTTTGAAATGAGACGTTACTAAGAAACGAGGCATGCTCACGCTGTTGCAGCATGTCAGTCAAAGGCCTGCCACGCCCTGACTCATGACTGTTTCTGCTGAAGGAGACCGTAAGTCAGAAAATGGACATCATGTTGTTACCGGTAAGACTTCGACTAGCTTCAGACTGAAGCATCTCAGGAATGTGCTGAGGCTGTAAATCAGGCGCAGAGTGGGGTCATTTTCTCAGACATGCTCACACCTGGACGATCCTGTATCTACAGTCCTTCCTGCACTTCTTTATGTGTCTTTAATAATGGATGTCATATGTGCCAGAAAATAGAATCAGAACAATAAACACAGGAACCGTTACCATCCTTGTGTCTCCCTTTAATTTTCCCAGAGGGAATCTCGAGAGTTGAAATCATCGGTCCGACTGGTGTGCTCATCGCCGACAACAGCACGGCAAACCTCAGCTGCCAGGCGACGGGGGGCACGGTGGGGGACATAGACTGGCTGAAAGATGGTAAAGCTCTCGGGCCTTCCAGCCCTCGTGTGGTTTTTGCCGCTGATAAAAGCTCTATGCTGATCAGGCCGCTGCAGAAGGACGACAACGGAAAGTTCACCTGTCGGGTCAGCAACGCCGTCAGCAGCAAGGAAGCCCACTACAACATGCAGGTCGTCTGTAAGTGTTTGCTGAGATACTCGAACGTGTGTGTATGCATGCATGTGCCTGTGTTTGACACGGATTTGTTTTTATTAGCTTTGATCGTCTTTATTAAAGTCCAATGAACTTCCATAAAAGTGTTAGTCAGACAGTAGAGGTCCTGCACACGCCTCACTCGCTTCCCATCCACGGCAGGTATAAATATCAGACAGTAAGCTCAGCTCCAGCAACAAAGACATTTTTAAATGTCATTATTTCCAAAGAGCATCGTGATGTAATACCTTGGACTGTTCTTTCACTATCCGGTGCTTAATTTAAGAGTCTTCTGTCAGTAACCTTCCAGTTTCTGTGTATCGAGAGCATATGTTTCTTTCTTTCTGCTCCTGTATGGATCAGAACGATGCCTCCTTATCCCATAGTCCAGCCAATGATGCGATTCACATTCGTACATACGCAGCTAATCAGCGTTGACAGGCTATGACAGCGTGCTTATGTGCCGACACCGACACTGTCGTTGTTTATATTTACTGCAGGAAGAAACGGTAAAAACGGAAAACGCTGGAAAGCCTGTGAGTGAAAACAACACCAAAAAAACCTCAGCCTTCCCTATTGGTCGAAAAATGCACCATATCGACCAATCAAAAAATGATATGGCAACATGGCATTTAGTTGTTTAGGAAGGTGGAAGTTTTAGGAGTGACGGCGTGTTTGAGATGTGAGAGATTTGCACGTTTAGCACAAATGTTGTGTAGTTAGTGTGTAGTTAGTGTGTAGTTAGTGTGTAGTTAGTGTGTAGTTAGTGTGTAGTTAGTGTGTAGTTAGTGTGTAGTTAGTGTGTAGTGTAGTCAATAGTGTTGTTGTTGTGTGTGTCAGAACAATGAGGCGACTGCTGAGTGTTACAGGTGTTACAGCAGTGACACATCTGCTGCTGTCAGGCCTGCAGGTATCAGGCTGTTGTTCTCCTTCATCTCATAGTGACACAAATTATTTTTTGGCACAAATAATTTGTGTGGCATCAGATTTGATGCAGAACAGCTGATTGTTCTGGAAATAGTTTGAGATGTTTGTTTAAAAAACGCCTTGGCTGCATTTTTAGGTAAACAGCTGCAAAAACCTTTGTTTGCATAACTCAGTTACTTTTTTGAAGAAGTAACTTTATAATTAATTACCCAACATTGGTCATTATTTACTGTATTTGCAGAGTTACAGACTCTCTCCCAGACCACAGACTCATAATACAAGTCAGAGCTTTATAAAAGAAAAGAAAGAAAAGAAAGAAAGTTGTGTTTTCAAAATTGGAGTTCAAGTTATTTTTCCTTCCAATAGTGTTAACATACTGCACATGAACAAGATTTGTTTTAAATTTTCATTGTAAGTGGACTAAAGCAGTTAATTAAAAGTAGTCTAACATAAATGCTGTAATTTGATTACTTTAATAAACATGTAACTTGGATGCTGGCTTGACCACAGTGCACGTCTGCTGTTGCTCACAGTGGTCCAAGCTCAGGGAGTTTGTGTGTTCAGACACGTGAAACATCAGAGGGAACTTTGCTCATAACTGAAGTTTACGGCATTTGGATCGTTTTTAACCTCAGGTTCTCTTTTTTGTGTCGCCTCCTTTCTGATCCTGTTACACCACCCAGCTACTGAGGTCACACATCCTGGTTTTAAGTAGAAACATCAACAGTTTCCTTTTCCACTACCAGTGCGTAATATTTATGGGTGGTTACGCTCCGTCAGCTGTCAGCTGATGGTCATCAGTCAGAGTAACGACCGGCGTGCTAACAATTAAGTTCGCTGTAAAGACAAGTTCGTGATTATGAATCATGGAGAAAAATAACTCATCTTTGGTTTTACTTCTGTCATATCCAGGCTCTTATTTTGAAATGTTTTCCTGTCTTGCAGCACTTTGGTCAGCACGATTTGTTTTAGATCAGCTTTATAAATATTTCCAGCGATCACATCCATTTGAACACTGCGAACAGGAAGTGGGGTGTTTATTGTTTTCTGTACAGAAAATAAAACATTTTTCACCTAAATCCAAACGATAAACCGGCTGGTGTTGTCATGTTGTGTCCAGATGGTCCTGAACAACCAATTATAACGGCTAAAAAAGCCGTGGAAGTCAATCAGCGAGTGGACCTCACCTGCTCCGCTGCATCTGTTCCTCCTGCCAACTACACCTGGAAGTTAAACGGCACCGCAACTACAACCACAGCGCCGGTGTTCGTTATTACAAGTGCAACATACCAAGACACTGGAACGTACACATGCGAGGCACGCAACATCATCACCAGCAAGACCACCTCCAACACCCACAACCTGTCTGTCCAAGGTGAGCGCCGTCATGCAGCCCAGACGATCATTAAATGAATAAACAGACTTTACTGCCTCAGCGCTGCACAGCCTGCAGCCTGAAGTTTTGCACTCCTCTTAAATTCTTACAAACGTTTATGTTTGTATATTTGTTTTTTCAACCAATGAGGAAGCACCAGGTCAGAGTTTACTGCCGGCACGTGACGTCCACGTCTGTTTGAAGCTCTGACATCATCTCAGAGCTTCAAAGAAACCCAACCGGTTCATGTCGTTTGCATATGGCATGAAAGTTTGGCAAGTGCAACTCTTCAGGTCATTACAGACGCCTAAAAGCGTCGACAATTCTTCTACGTAAGGCCAGCTGTATTTTAATCATCACTAATTATTGTTGTTAGATATAATTCAGGATTTACGTGTTCGAGCTTAATATGCTCAAACATAAATAAAATAAACAGGTTTTTCCTTCTTTTTCTAAAAGACGTGATCACTAAGGTACATAATGTGTGACTCACGTTTTCAGGTCGTGAGAAAACAAAACTGCACCCTGAGTAAAGCTTGTAGGCAAAGTTGGGAACTACAGATGCACAACAAGCTAACGTTAGGCGATTTTAAGCTAATGCTAGCTTCAGCTGAGGGAGGATTTTTGTGCAGAAAAGGCTTCTTCCTGTCTTTGCCTTTCACAATAAGGGTCCTTTATATATATACTCTATGTCAAAGCGGTGTACAGCAGATTAAAAAATATTCCTAGTTGCATATTTTCTTAGCATATAAACGTCATAATCCACAAACAAAAAATACCAAAATAACGTCGCGTCCCATTACTATGAAAAAGAACTGAATCAGCTTCATTGTTTATTTGTGGGTAATCTAACGGCGTGACACGGACAGGCCAGTGTGACGAGGATGGACCCTAACCCTGAACGAACATCATCAGACTGTTTTTAAACAACTCGTCCTGTTTTCTTCTTCTCTAGTCCTACTTTCAGTTTTGCCAGCGAGCAGCGGGGGAGGTGTAGCGGTGCGCCGCTTGTTTACTGTTATGTTGGAATGAGGATCTGCGTTTCCGCCTTTATCTTCTGTCCTGTAGATTAATCAGAGTTAGAGATCACAGTCACGCTGAGTCACGCATACTTAAACACACAGTCACAGAGACTGTCCACACTAAACCACCAATGACTCTTTACAGGGGAGGGGACGCTGGATGGTCTCTCAGATGGAGCCATTGCTGGAATCGTCATCGCTATCATCATTGCTGTGGCCCTCGTTGTCGTAGGCGTCCGGTATTACTGCCGACAGAAAGTCCCGTAAGTACTCCTGCTTCCTGATATCTAAAAGGGGCATGCAGGGGGGCACGTCGGTCAGCCAATGGGATGAGGCGTTGGAGTGGCTGAGGCTTCGAGGCTGAACCAACCAAACCAACGAAACAGGTCTCACTGTGGCTGAAAATGATAGTAACGTTGGCCTCAAACTGTTTGAACCAGACTGTTTACTCGTAGTTTCCTGATTTTAATTGGCTGACGAGATACGACTGAGACTGTTCTTACAACAAATTTCCCACGTGTGGGACTAATAAAGGTTATCTTATCTTCCTCAAAAAACTGGGAAAACACTTTGTGTGGAGCTGGAAACAGAAAGAAATATCTGTGAGATTCAAGCAGCTGACAGCTTAAAGCAGTGAAAGAGTGTTTGTGTCGTTCATGGTGACAAAAGCTCGTGAGATGTTCTGTTTGCACTGCTGTTGTTTCTTTAGAGCAACAGCGCTCTAATGTGTTGGTGGAGAAACTGGGCGATCACACTGAGTCAGTCTGTGACTCCAGATTCAGAGTGAGCTGCTTATTTTGATTTGAACAGTGTGAGGAACGTTACTCCCGCGCTCCGTGCTTTTCTCCGCTGTGTTCATGACCTCCCAGGAAACGTTCCTCATTCCTCTCATGCCTCGGCGGATTGAAACATGTTCCCAGATGTATCCTACTCAGATATTAAAGAGCCGCCACGCCCTTCGGCACCATTTCAAAAGTAACTGTCACCTTTGCACACGCTGGCCACAGTTTGGGAGCAGCGCCTCCACCGGTGCGATGGAGGTAAAGACTAGAAAGAACATTAGAGTTCTGCAGCACTGTCGTATCTTTAGGAACACTTTATAACAGACTCATCGGGGAGACGCTTCCCTGTTGCACACAATCAGGTCTGCAGACACAAATATGTTAAACGGTGCTACAGTTGAAGTCACAGCGAGTGATGCAATCGCATCGCATTTTGACACACAGCAGGAAGTTGCTGAAACAAAGAAGCGTCCGATGAGTCACAGTCGCAGCCTCCAGCATGCAAACACTCACATTACTCACTGCTGCCAAACCAAGCAACGCAACGCAGGAAGTTACCTTTGAAAGTGTGTGTGTTGGAGGGGGGGGGGCATGTCTGCAGGAATCTCACAAACACGAAAGCAGCAGAATTACCTGGTGGAGGACGATGTTGTCCCACCTGCAGGCGGCTGGAGGCCCGTTTGTCTCTGTGGACGCGAGCACAAAGTCTTCTTAACAGACCGCTGTCATGTGACGGGACCTCTTGATGTCTCGGGTAGAGGGGCGTGCACCTGCAGGTCCGATGTGGTGGCAGGAGGCCTTGTTCTGTTCTGACTTCCTGTGACGGTGGACGGTGGATGGATGATTGTCACCCTGGAGCTGGTCACCTTTGTGAGCTCTGCCCTGGTGAAAGAGGCGGAGACGTAAATGTTAAATATTTAAAGAGGTGACTTCCTGGAAAGGAAAAGCCGTTTTCACAGCGTTTCATTCTTTAGGAATAAATGTAACAGCAACAAGGTTTTCTCTGTATTATTATTTCCTCCTACTGATTGGTCAGTCTGTAGCAGGATCTGGGCATGCTCTGATGAGTTTTCTCTTCCATGCTGTGGGACACCCCGATGGACGTGTTGACCTGGTTAAAGAGGGATCACGGTAGAGCGTCTCTATAGGCTCCGGGGCTGCCGAGCCGGGCAGGTGGGAGCACGGAGCTGTAGGTAACTGTAAAAACAAGAAAGACAGGAAGTCACGTTCAGACAAACACAGCTATCGCACACTGGCATCTTAAACACACACCCGGAGCGAGCGAGAGATGGAGCGAGGCAGTGACAGCAGACAAAGACAGGCGATGACAGACGAGTGTGTATCACAAACATGCTGCAGTTTGTGCGCTGCACAGTGTGGGTTTGTTGTGCATGTAGTCTCACAGTAATGTTAAGGTACGAGAGTGAAACACGGGTCCTCGAAACATCTCAGTTTTTCCTGCTCCAGGCTCTGGATGATGTCATGGAGAGCTGATATGCCAAATATGGTAATCTCATGAAAACCGCTCTGACTGTGAGCTCAGAAGCCCCGCCCCCACCACACCTGCAGAACAAGATCGGTCTGAGCTGTGAATCCAGGAATAAACACGAGGAAATGAGCAGAACAGGTCGAGCATTGGTGATGTGTGCTTTTATTTTGAAAGGCTGTGTGGTTTAACCTGCTGACACCTGATGGACCCACAGACACACAGACCCAAATATGTAATAAGACTAAAAATGCAGAAACACGCAGACGTGTGAAGACCTCGTGCTGTGATATTCTAATCAAACATGAGGAAAGAGGAAACATGTTCAGGACACACACGAAGCCACCTGCTCAGAAACCAGCAGGCTCGTGTCTGAAAGAGTTCAGGTGTGGAGAGGTTTCACCTGATAACATCAGCAGCGATCTGATGCTGAGAGCGTCACAGCTGAGCCGTCGTCCCGCAGCTGAAGCTCCGATACGCAGATTTATGCAACATCACTGACATCACTGCAGGTTAGCGTCAGTTCTTGTCACAGTCTGGGGACTACATTACCCACAGTGCAACTTCTAGCACAGACTTTGCACAAAGATGGAAATGTTTGCTGTGAAGTAAAACCATTTTAGGGTCAGGAGATGGAGCTGAGGGTGGAGCTGAGGGTGGAGCTGAGGGTGGAGCTGAGGCTAGCCCTGGGTGCAGCTCTGTCAGCCATGACTCAAAGCATGCATGATCAGGACTGGACGAGGCTGAAGTCCTGCAGGTGCAGACGTTCAGTTCAGCTCACGAAGCTGAGGACAGGAACCGAGAGACGGGTGGCGAGAACACGAGGAACAGCTCACTTCTGCTTCCAGGTCAGGTTAGAGTGGCACCACCCACACACACCACCCGTCATCCTCCCACTCTGTGGGGGGAGGCCGGTGGTGTTTTGATGAAAACGTCCCGCTCTGAGGACAAATGTCAAACGACAAACCTCGTTGTGTCGGAGACCAGAAACCGTCCATCTCTTGGGTGGCGTTGAGGTGCAGTCGCTGCAACGCTGAGGAAACACCGTTTCCCACAAAGCCGGAGTTCCCCGTGGGGGAGCAGGCGTGGGTAGACCTGACAGGAACGCTGGGAGTGCTCTGACCGGCCCTGCAGGCTCAGACAGCGAGCTGATGCTCCCACAGAGCCTGACTGACTCCAGCCTGTAATTACGCATTTCTCTGTGGTTATTTGCAGCGCCGTGAATCGTCTCTGCAGATAAAAGCGCGACTTTCCGATAATTACAGGCGGCAGCTGAGATGCATTTGGTGACATGAAGGATTCCCTCAGAGCTTCATCACTGATGTTCACGCTCTGAGCTCAGATTGAAAAGAAGACGCGTGC